AATTTAGTGTCTTAACTTGATCTAAAGTTAATTATGTAAATTTGTTATCTCTGAATGTCTGCGACCCTTCACGAGCATACTATTCAAAGTATTCTATTTAAATTCAGAGCCGATGTTTAAAATCAATAACAAAAGTATTGTGTGTGCGTGTGTGTATAGAAGAACATCATCTAACTTTTCTCCTAAAATTGAACGAAATAAGATTCCAATAATGTATCTCCTTGTGTGTATATTTTTTATGTTTCGCAGATATTTTCGTTACGGTGAAATCATGTATTGGAGGAATTTTCCTTGTTCTTATTTTTAAAAACAAGATTCACGATTTTGCAGCCCAAAAATGAAACAAAATATCAAATATTTAAGCGACGAGTATTTGAGGTGACCAACAATATAAATAACTCCAACAAAGAAAAGTTATTTACGGCTGCGTTTTCTTTCTCTGAAATAAAATTTATTAAAGAGCACAAGCAGATCTACGTAAAAGTTTAAAAGCTGCACCGGTTAGATGAAAAAGCTATTTCATACAAAATTGTTTTGTTCATTATAGAATAAAGTTCTTTGATCCACGACAAAATTACTAAAGTTCGCGTGATTTCAAACTTGACTTTGCTAACGTTATTTAGTGAGGTACATACAATAATTAATTACAAGCCATGCTCGTATGTTTAATTTGATAAAGCTAAATATTTTTTCTGCTTTATATTTAAAGTACTTTGAATAAATTTTGTAAAATGTAAGTATATTTCTCTTGTTTGTTGTGGAATGAAATCGTGGTAGTTGCAGTTAATTACAATAATGGTAACGTTTAATTAACGACTTACTGTTTATAATTGTTTACATTGTGTCTATAATTTCTTTCCATCTAGATCCAGTTAGAGGAAGACGTGTCGTGACGTTTTCTTTTGTTATTTCACAATTGCCGGTATATAAAGTCGGCAGGTTTTACAGGCTTTCATTTAAGGATCAGAAGAAATCAAAAACCAATAATTAACCTTCAGTTGTTTTCCTGTGGCTATTACTAACTTTTTTCTCGTATTTTTAAATATTCATATAAGCAACAACCTAATCTTTTGCCAATGCCAACGTTGGGTGGTAAAAACTAAAAAAATATATTAAAACCCTTAATTTTAAAATTGTCTATTTTTTAATATGGTAATAGTAGATTACATACCGAGGTGGGAGGTGCTTCATTGCCGAGCTGAAGTAAATGAAGCAACGACCACTAAGGTTTGTATACATACTATTTTATTCACAAACATCCTTAAAAAACAAAAAGCCAATAAAGGGTTTATCAAATTTTAAAAAATATGACATATATTATGACAGAACTGTCCTATTACATATCAACTGAAAAGGAAGTGATTACTTCCGAACCTGAGCTTGATGTCATATCAATTGTTGAAAAAATTGAAATTCACATGTAAGGTAATTTGATTATTACTTTATAATTGTGAATTAAAAAAATATATTAATAGAATTTTCAGTGAAATGAATTGCTGGGGACTTGTCTACACATACTAGTGTATTCAAATTACGACTTTTACTTTCCTTATCCTATAAGGAAAGTATTGTAATCGGCTCAAATTTAACCTGTGTGTGTGTAAACAGCATATCTCAAGAACAATAAAAGCTAAAAACTAGAAATTTGGTGTGTAAGTTACTTGTACGAAGGGGACGCAGCACAAAACAATTGGTAAAAATCGGTCGCGCCGTTCGGTCGCAAAGACCAAAAATCGGTCGCAAAATTATACGGTTGAAGATACAATAAATTCATGGGAATAAAAATTGTTTAGAATCATGAAATATA